ATTATCACCTAGGTGAAAATCAAAGTTTTAAATTAAAAATTACGGGAATTATCACCTAATTTTCACCTAGGGGAAAATAATTATCACCTAGGTGAAAATTAATGTTTTTAATTCAAAATTAAAAGTGAAATATGTCGTATGTGAGCCACCGTAGTATACTAACTCGGATCCAAACAGACCGGAGGAGGAAATTATACATCTCCTAAAAGTCGCAATGAATGTACATTGAATGGTAAAACATATCTGCATAACTTCGGGGACTACTATGGGCAAAGGTTTCGCTCTCTCATCTGTAAACCTTTTCAGCGTGGTATCCTATTCAAGAGCATCCAACATGTAAACCTCGAACCTCGAGAAGTCCATTGGATTGAGACGCTAAGTTTAACAAGACCGATAGGACTGAATATTCCTCATAATGCAGATATGGCACCAATTGTCGTCTCATTTAATACCACTAGAAATCGAGCAAATAGGATAGTCCATGCCCATTATGAAAGTCTACAAAGGAAAATCACTCACGTCTTTAAACAAATGTTGCATATTCATCCAAAAAACCAGAACCTAACCTGTCGCCCAATGGGTTATATTTTATCTAATTTCAGAGCAGAACAGAGGAATATCACCAGCATTTCCTGTCCGATAATTACTTTTTCTTAATGAAGTATTTGTTCCATCACAGTCCTGTACATTTGGGAGAATCATACCCACCCTATCCCGAAATCTAAATCATCTAAGTATATCAGGTCGTTTCCGTCAAATTCCAAAACGTGGCTCATGAGGGGTTAACCAAGACAAATGATACCTAATGGTATATATTGTATTGTGTCAGAATCAAATTCCAAAATAAACATATATTATGATGATAGTTCACGGGTAAAATTTCTATGTGGTTGTGAGTCAGAAGTGGATGATGACAGGGACATAGGAATAAACTGTGAGAATGGTGAGGTTATCAAGATGGAACCATTGGAATATAAAATGACAGATAATGACGCAGCAGATACAGATTGTGGTGACTTCAACTACAATAGATGCGAGCAGCAATTTAAACCAGACATTTTAAACAAAGAAGGCCGTTTTGATGTGTATAAAAAAACGTCTGTTATATAAAGATAGGCAGAGTAGACACGGGCCGACAAAGACAGGTGAATTATCCGTTCTTATCATTCTGATAGAGTTTGTATCACTCTGGTAAGAGATTTTATCATTCTGGTAAGAGCTTTATCATTCTGGTAAGAGTTTTGATCATTCTGGTAAGAGTTTTTATCATCCTGGTAAGAGTTTCTATTATTCTGGTAAGAGTTTTTATCATTCTGGTAAGAGTTTTTATCATTCTGGTAAGAGTTTTTATCATTCTGATAAGAGTTTTTATCATTCTGGTAAGAGTTTTTATCATTCTGGTAAGAGTTTTGATCATTCTGGTTAGAGTTTTTATCATTCTGGTAACAGTTTTTATCATTCTGGTAACAGTTTCTATCATTCTGGTAAGTGTTTTTATCATTCTGGTAAGAGTTTTTATCATCCTGGGTAGAGTTTTTATCATTCTGGTTAGAGTTTTTATCATTCTGGTAAGAGTTTTTATCATTCTGGTAAGAGTTTTTATTATTCTGGTAAGAGTTTTTATTATTCTGGTAAGAGTTTTTATCATTCTGGTAAGTGTTTTTATCATTCTGGTAAGAGTTTTTATCATTCTGGTATGAGTTTTTATCATTCTGGTAAGTGTTTTTATCATTCTGGTAAGAGTTTTTATCATTCTGGTAAGAGTTTTATCAATCTGGTAAGAGTTTTTATCGTTCTTGTAGAAAGTGCCTAAAAGGTAATTTGGTAATGTTTAATTCGATCCATATGCCATCTGTATTGTCGGTTTCCAAATTCTGTCTACGAATATATAGATAATTTGTGCGAAGATAAAGAGCACCCCACCTCCGTCTTTCCTCATTGGTATATAAAACTCTTTCACAGGAAGGGTATTACAAGGAATCGAGAGCAGTCGTGGTTTTGTTTATCTTTTTTCAGAGACTCTTTACATTTAGATGCCACAAAAAAGATATGTTTACATCGTTCGGGGTTCTTTTCAACATCACCTGAAAATAGAAAAACAATTTTAAATAATAGAAAAAACATAAAATCAATTTTGATATTTGATATTTTATTTAATTTGCACTTTTTTTTCAGAATCTTCTCTCCATGATATATCACAGGAAATACTTTGAAATCTAGACGGACCTATATTTTATTTACCTGTAAAGAGGTTTATAGGGCAGAAGATAGATTGTGACTGTTCTATTACTAGTTCCAATCAGATTCAATTGGAAATTTATATTCTTAATCTAAATCCAAACACAACATCGAAAGTGAAATTTCTTACACAAAATTTTGATCTGTTTAATTCTCCCATCAATGGCATTACAATGTCCAATACAAAATTTGACGACGTTGGTCTAGAATTGAAACTGGAGATACGGGACTTTGAACAAAACGAAGAAGATATTATATTTTATAAAGTATATGATAAAACTGGTAAGAGTTTAAAATATTGAAATAACATCAAGTTCTATTAAATAATCAAAAAAAAATCTGATGTATCAGACAGGAAGCGAGAAACAAAAACAACCAATCTGGTGGTATTCAGTGGTTTGGAACCCCCCCCCCCCCCCCTCCCCCTTTTCCTCCACCCGGAATGTTTCTCAACAAGTGCTGTCCTTCAATCTGCGACTCCACTGTTGGTCAAATTAATGCCTTGAACTCTGAACCATTTTATATTTTTCTTTTAGGTACTTACCTTGGTACGTTTTTTTTTTCAATTTTGTATTTTTGTCTGCGAGTGGGACCCCCTTTCGGAATGTGGGCACGTGTGCTTGGTCCAACCAGCCCCTATGGTAGTGACCTACAGATATTTATTTGTTTGTGAGAATTTAAAATGTATTTTCAGGTAACAACCTGTCTGTGAATTGTACTGGATGTAGAAATTCAACAAGTAAGACTTTTTAATATTAAATCATAGAATTATATTTTTAGTCTTCTTGTTCTATTATGTTATATATTGATGTTTAATATGATATAAAGATACAATAAGGCTGGGAGAAAGTCTTAGAAAAGGTTTCTCTGTAAGTCTCATTGTACCAGTATCGAGTTGTACAATAATCTTTAATTACTGTAAAATAATATGACACCTAACTGAGATAACAGAAGTAATTGGCTCCCCATCTCCACGTTTAGACATAGGATCGAACAAATTGGGGTCAACTGCAAACATTCTTCTACAGATCTTTAAACTCCGTGTTTCTTTGACAAGTAATACTCGTGATGACTGAAAGAAAGAAAGCAACCAATAATAATATTTTAGATGTTGAATCACGCAGCATTTCTTTTTAATCTTCTTTAAGATGAATCTGTTATGGACTCAACTACACCCACTATCCCTACAACAACTGTTGTAAATTCAACCCCAGAAGGTCCTGCACCAACTGATAGTACATGTACAAATCAATCTAATGATGTTGGAAATGTCTACGTAATTACATTGGGTGTAATTCTAGCAGCTGTAATATTACTTACTATAGTCGGTATAGCGATCTACTGTGTTCTCAGGTAATTCCTGTTTTATCTTCATCTAATTATGATAGACACTTTCGCCCACAGCTGCATAATAGTTAGCCTTTATTCAAAGCGGGAACAGATAACAACTTTCATCTATCGATGCTGCCAATCAGAAGACGAGCATTTAAAACTTCTTTAGCACTATTTTGAAGAATATGATTTATTGCTGAGTTCCCAAATTACGTTGTTCAAGGTTTTTAGATGACCAGATACGACTGGACCAAATGGTCATGGGAGTAACTTTTTACAGTTTTAAAGTGTTTCTAAAGAGCATGTATCATCTAATCCCTAGTGACAATCCCCTTGTACTGGGCGTACCACCTCTTTTCATAGCTTTCATATCTTTGTAAATTTTACCTTGATATTTTAGACGCTGAAGAAGCCAAACGAAAAAACCGGATACTAATGGCATAGTGTCTGGAAATGGTGAACAATCTCAAAATGAATTTCTCTGAACCCACCTTTGACATTTCTGAGAGCATAATTTACGATATTTTTGATAATTTTGTGTTCCGCCACTTTAACACATCTATTATATATGACGACTAATTTGTGATATGAATGAATCGATTTAATAAATACCTTTATGATTTTTTTACTGCAAGACAGGCCATCTAATGGATTATTGAGGGAAAGAAAGAAACGACTAGGGTAACATGGAGAATTACTCACACCTAAGAACTAAATGAGATAAAAATTAGATTAAATCGGTAAATAACTAGCTGATAATAATTGGCCCGTATGCACCCAATCACATTAAGTATAATTTAATTCTATTCTGTCCGAATAACATTAACTTTTAAGTTAATTATATATTTTGTATGCACCACATAGAATTACCTTAAATGTATTTAAAATTGGCTAATTTAATGTTAAACTTAAAGTTGGTCGAGATCAGTTTTAACTTTTAATTCTATTTGTAAATCAGTAGAAATTCCTTTTGTGGCTGTTCGATGTTTCAAAATGGACGATTATTTCGACGATTTAGATGAACTTGGTGAAATCAACCGTGTTATTCCCAACAATAGACATCAAGGATCGCCTGGACCCCTTAACATGGCTTTCGTCGTCATCATCTAGAACAAGTTTATAGAGGTTCAAACGTCTGAGGGCAGGAATCTTTAATATTCTGACAGATGTTGTCTAGTTCTGTAGGCTCTTGTCCTCCCCCTGCGTCCGAACCTCTCGTTTTCTAGCTGCGTCTTTCTGCTTAGCTTTGGTGGTTAGGTTGCTAAGGCATATTTTAAGAGAGTCGATGTCACGATTTGTCGTCAGCAAGGCCATATTGAAATCTTCGTAAATGGATTTCCATGCCAAATCCTTTTTCATTCTTGCTGCAGAACCTTTGCTGGGGTTGTAATATGTAAACAACTTGGTGATATTTTGCTTATTCACTCAGAAACTCTTTTTCATAAGCTGAAAAATTGACAGAACGCGGTCGACCGGCCATGTTGAGTGAATATACAGAGTAACGCTTTTATATCAACTGAAGCTTTATATACAAACATTTTTGGTCAGAAAACGAAATTCACGATATTTATCGTGATTGAAATGTTCGTTAAGGCGATCTGAAAGTGGCGAATTCAACTGGCATATTTTGCAAAAATGAAACATGACATGGATTCCAAATTACATTTATTAAGACGTTCATTTGCTCCTTCGAAGAATAGAAAGAATAAAATATATCGTTTTATCTTACTCTTGTTGATACCTGATACCAGACGAGAATCTATAGAGTTTCGGACTACAAGACATCCACACTACATACAGCAGTGATTAAAATGTTAAATAAGAAATATGTCTTAATGACCAATCTTTAGACTCTTTTGTCATATATAGATTGTGTATAGTGTGTGGTTCGAATGGAAAATAGAATTTCAATTACAGTACAGATAAATATATTTAGCTAATTGTTAGTTGGTGCATACAAAAAATATAACTAGAGCCACACGTGGCACAGGGTGGGACTTTGCAAATGTAGCAAATTGCAAAAGACTCTGAAAAAATCAACCTTCTACGATAATTACATCACGCGCAAGAGCAGTCTAAAGTTGAGAAGAATTCTTTGGAAGATTGTTATAACGGAAGTAGACAGACCTCACAAATGAAAGTATCAGAAGATAGCCAAGGTCAATGACATTTAACATTGAAAGGGAGAGGGTCAACAAAGGTCAAGGTTACGAGATACAAGTCATCAAAATTTTTAAATATATACGGCTATAAAACCG